ACCCTACTTTCCAAATTTTTTGTTTAAGTGCAGAGCTTTCAGTAATATATTTGTACACCAATGCTGAAATAGCATGATAGACTGTCGACATCTCTAAGGAGTTTAGAAAATTTGTGATAATTTTTTAGGAAAGACCCCTTCAATTTTTAGACAATTATCTTTTGAATGCAGCAAGGTGGTACATGTATGCACTCACGGGCTCATCTTGACAAAGACGTAGAGTTATGGTTGGGATTAAGTTTTGGGTAAAGGTTAGGGTTAGTTCAATTCATGTTGAAGATTTATGTATCTTTTGTAGACTCAGTAATTTTGGAATAACGAAAACCATCAACCATCTTCATATTAATGTAAGTACGATAATTTCATGGCAGTAGTGAATTTCTCATCATAGTATTCAACCATTCTTGCAAAATTCACATCCCTTCTGTGATTGTAAAATTCAAATTCTTCCGTTCATGAAGCGCATATCACCCAAGTGACCCGACATGTTATTCAGTCATGTAATGAATATGGGACTGACAAAATGTTGACACATTTCTAATTTTGGTTTCCTACTCAATCCTCATAATTATGCAACATGAAACTTCACGCACGTAATGTTTGTAGGATAACCTACTTGCTGTATATAACTTCAATTAGCAGCCTACGTGTGTACACACTACAGTGCCGATTTAAATCCATTGAATGATATTATCGTCATACTGTGCCCACATCTAACTGTAAATTGTAGAAGGGTAATGCATACATGAATGCGTCACTCTGTGTTGATTTTCAACTACTCAATTACCTTTTGACTAAGCGATCGTGACCTACATGTATGCACAGTTTTCCAATAAGTCACCAGAATTTCTTTTCTTTTCGTGATATTTTTCTTTTTTTGTACTTTTGATATTTATAATTCCAAGCTTTCCAGTGATTTAATTAACCATTACTCCATTAAAAATCCCATCTTGTTAAACTAAGAGCAGTCTATAAAATATGTATTCTGAAAAATCACCCCCCCCCCCCTCCCCCGCCCTTGCTTTGTACTGTGTTGGACTTGTGTCTTGTTGGTGGTTTTGAGACATAACTCCTATCCTCTTGGTTCCTCATACAGATGTGTATTCCTTTGCCATTGATTTTCACTGTTGCAATACATGTGCTCGAGGGCAAGCCGTTCTGCATTTTAATACGATCATCGTCTGCTGACTAATTTTGAATGCAATCCTCCAAATGTCGTCACTTAGTGACTTCATGAGCGCTGTCTAAGCCCGTAAGCCTAGACGATGTACTTGGACAAGTTTATTTCTTCACTCTGACTTCATCGCTGTATATAGAGAGAGAGAGAGAGACCAGCGTGTATTCTTCTTCACGTATTTGTACATAAAGCATTAAAGATGAAGTTGAGTTCTGGTCATGCGATTGCATTGTGAAAGAAACGGTGTGGAACCGACCAGAAAAGGTTGATCATCTAGCATATAAGAGTTTGTGTGTATTGCAAGGTTCTGGAATCATCAAAATGATAAGAAATGTGGCCAAGTCTTGGTAAAGTTACAAACACTTGCACAGAAAGATGTATATGGGACTACACGAACACGTGGCGTAAAAAGCCGCCCCCCCCCCCCCCCCGATTTTTACGATGTTACATGCATATTTAGAATATGAAGGCATTTGAAGAGCCATGCTTTTCAGGGAACATGTCTTAACAATTTATTTTTCACCTCTTCCCAGAACTCAACCTTCTCTTTAACTTAACTTTGCAAATTGAAAATGTAAACATATGCTATTACTATCTCTTTTTTTTCTCTCTTCTTTTTACTTCAATTTGCAAAAGTTTGAATGAATCTTGGTATATCATCCTCATTCATCCATCATATCACAAAACAATTACTTGTAGCAAAGAAACAGCTCTTTAAGAATACTTATCATCTCTTTCATTTTCAAATTATTGCTGTTCATGCCCATATTTTTTATGTATAATCCATTTGTATTTATTTCATTCCATTTAATGGTATCATGGCAATATGTAAATGTATCAGTCATTTAAATGACATGTTTCAAATACAGTTCCTGCACAATTTTTGTAGAGTATCAAATACTTATCATGCTCTACATATCTATGTTCCAGCGGTAGCTCCAGGCTTGATTTTGTCTACAGTCTTGGGTAGGGTTATGGTTGCAATTAGATTTTAGGTTAGTGTTAGGGTCAGAGAGTACATATTTGGTTCAGAGTTGAAGTTGAGCATTCGGATCGTGTAGGTTATTGAACTTGGAGCAATAATTGCCTTGGCATATGTCGTACAACCTACTTATCAAGAAGTGTTAAAGCCATACTGTACTAGAGGCACTACATCAAAAACCCCTCTAGCGCCATCTCAGGTCAGCTGTAGCAGTTTGGTCCCGTAACTCGCTGCTTCCCTAGATGCACTGATGGTTCTCTCATCAAGTGCTCTGTTTGCGAAGTGGAAATTAGGTATTGGGTGACACACTGTTGGCAAGTTGACCATGAGATGGCGCTGTGCAATAAACTACGCTAGAGCAGAAAGTTCATCAGTTCATTATCGCTTTAAATTGTATGGAATATGTTTTTTTTAAAGATTTTAACATCCATGTTGGTGGAGGTAAATGCTCAGTTCATATTAACTCATCCATTGCTTGTTTTCATCCTAACAAACTGTGTGCAAACATGACTTAACTCATACCCTCAGTGTTGTCATCATGTGTATAGTAGGAATCACCTTCCTGCCTGTGTTTGGTCTAACAGGCTTCCACGTCTCGCTCTCCTCCAGAGGAAGAACCACTTACGAGCAGGTACCATGGCAACTAAACAACCCCGCCCTGCCCCACCCTGCACCCTCCCCCCTCATCCGTTGATGTATTAAGATCTGCCAATTTTCATGCTTTATTTGCACTTGTCTCCTGTTGATTGCAATGCAAAATTCATGTGTTTTATGGAGCTGTGAAGATGTTCTCTAAAATTCAGTGCTCTCAGTCACCATTTTTTGAAAGTTGTTTAGATTTGTGTTTATTCATCTTTTTCATCATTTGTTATGACAAAGATTAAGCTACACATGCCATCTACAGTTGTATGCATCCCACCTCATGCTGATCTGTGAATTATTTATTTGCAATTTCTTCTTATGAGAACAGAGGGCAATCTTCGTAGTGATCATTCTTTCCCTTGTTTGCAATTAGCCTGTAGATACTTTTGATGTTGTCAGTGTCATTTTATTGAATGATCTATTTTGCTATTGTTGCAAGATGACTTAGTTAGATCCCTATTACTGCCACTACCTGACATTATAATAAGTACCACATTGTTATCCTCATCATCACCATCACCATCACCACCTTCAACACCATCCCAACCACCACCACCACCACCCACCACCACCACCACCACCACCACCACCCACCACCACCACCATATCTCCACTATTTTCTTCTTCTTCTCAATCATTACCCGTACTTCAATTCTGTATCCAAAGTACATTGGAGCACCAGATTTTGTTTTTTCTCCCAGGAGCTTTGAAATAGCCTCCATTACCCTCTAAGCAGCCCCTGTATTTATACATGTTTTTCATCGCCAAAAAGAGGGGCTCCAGAAGAGATTTATTACCATAATCATCTTTGTAATATCAAGCTTCATACCTTCATATCCATACCATTCCTCCCCCAACATTATCATCTCGGTCAGATGTCACATCAACATCAGCATCCTCATCCTAATCTCAATCAATGGCACCTTTATCATCTAGGTTATCATTTTATCAATATCGTACCGGTAATCTTCAACATCAACACCATCCACCATCACCACCATTACTGCCACCATCTCAGCAATATCAATACCATTATCATCATCATCATCTATCATCGTCATCATCATCATCATCATCATCATCATCATCATCATCATCATCAATATCATCATAATCACCATCATTATCATTATTATTATTATCATCATTATCCTCACCATCATCATCATAATCACCATCATTATCATCAACATCATAATCACCATCATTATCATCATCATGATAACCACCACCATCATCATCATCATCATCATCAACATCATCATCTTCAAATTCATGTCGCTGACACCAATATTCTCATCAACTTCTCCATTCATAATTGCTTCACTCCACCATTAATTTCTGAGTCGGCTCATCTCATCAACATAAAAAATCCCCTCGTTCACTATCTCTGCCATTATCATTATCTCATCAACCTCGAGATCCGCATCCCCATCACCATAACTACATGCACTTTCACTATCATCAGCAATGTCCTCTTTCTCTCAACGGCACTATCACATACTACTCCTTAATAAGTAAGGGTAAATAACACAGGAAGTCGGCACATCACTTTTGCATGAAGCCAGCCGACAAATTTGCAAAGACAGTAACCCGACGAGAGCTGTATTTCCTTTCATTGTCGGCAACATTGGAAATGAACCTACTCAATTCTTTGTAGCTCTTTCCCCAGTTATTGACTGTCTCATCCTCAAGTTTCTTTTATTTCTTTACAATTGTCACTTTATAATGTGTAAGTAGTGCTCAATGGAATATCAGTGACAAATGCCTTCTTCTGTTTGATATGATTTCTTGAATGTTCTTCTCTTCTGTTCAGTCTGGTAACAACATTACATGTACATTGTGAAAATACTTTTTGTAATCATTGTTCTTATTTTCTTCTTTTTTTCTTCTTTCTATTTGATGAATTTGTTCATCTTTATATGAAATCCTACAGATTTTCCATGTGTAATTGATGTATGGAAATTTAGAGAATTGCTTCTCAATGAACAAATACCATTCTGCATGTTTGTGTTCGTCTTCAATTTATTCAATTTTATCATATTTTTTTCACGAAAACAATTCTGCAAATCTGCACCCAAGTGATAAATGTCTGTGGCATTTAAATGAAGCTTATAATGTCGTTGTTTTGTTGTAAGAAAAACAGTATGATTCCTTGACCTGCTACCCACCAATGTGCCCACCATGTCAATCTATCAGTATTGTAGTGATGAGCGTAGATGCCTTGTGCTTCATACCAGTAATAGTGCTTACCGTGTTCCATATGTCCCTCATCTGTAAGGGCCGCACCACCAACGAGCAGGTAAGTTCAATCCTTTCCCCAGCAGCAAGCACGCAGGATCAGGGAAGTCATGATTTCCTTGTATTTTTGTTGCACTTATCCAGCCTTTCCCTTTCGGTGCCTTTTCTTTACCCTTTATACAGGGTGGAAGTTTTCTACAGCTGCATGACGAAACTGTGAACACCCCTTTCCCATCTTTCTCTATCTTCTATTTCTGTCGTTTATCCCTTATTTTATCTCCTGACCTTCCTTGTCCCCTTTTTTTTTCTTTTGTATTTAATCAGATTCTATTTCTTTCCATTTTCTATTCCACTATGATTACTTCCTTCCCATTTGACCTTTTTTTCCATTTTTTCCTCGAAAATGTGATTGTTTTACTTTCTCATCTACCTCTCTGACGTGTATTCTTTGCACCCTTTCCTGTTGTCTCTGTGTGCTTAATTAGGGTTGACACTTTTTGTAGCATCTGTAGGAATTTCAAGGTTTTCCCCCACTTTTTTAAAAGCTATTTTTGTTCACTTTTGTATTCTGAATAAGAGGACACCTCTTATTTGGCACACACGCACACACTGCACAAAAAGTTATTGTCACTTTTGTCAGGCAATCTGGATGTATTTCATCAAAGTTATTTTGATTTATTTACCCCCCCCCCCCCCCCAAAAAAAAAAAAAAAATGAATGGAATTTAAAAAATGAATAAAAGAAATATTATGAATGATATGATGATACCAATGACAATGTTATTATGATAAATTCCTTTTTCTTCTTATTTTTCGGCAAGTACAATTGAAGGAATTGCAAGGCAATGTTGTTTTGAAATGCTCACTTTTGTGCTGTTATACTTCCTAGTGTATTTGTTTGACTTACCATATGTTCATACCCTTGTGTAAGATGAATGTCTGCTGCCATCTGGAGTCGACAAACATGTAATTGTATATTGGCTGATTCTGTATTATGAGGGCAGCAAACAATGTATTTCTGTAACATCTTTATTAATTCATTGCCCCACTTCCTTATCACCATTCAACACTCCAAAAAAATATGCTATTAAAAAGTGATATGTTTTTATTACAAATTTGATCCCGGACAAGGGATTTAGTTTTTATTAGTTTTTAAATGTTAAAGCTTATTTTTGTGTTACAGCTTAGTTTGAATGAAATAGCTGATGTATACATAGACTGATATTTAATGATATTTTTATAAGTAACTGTATTTATTATCTCTGGAGAGTAGATATTCAAACGGTTTTTACTTTTATTTTTCTATCACAGGTAACAGGTAAATTCCAGAGTGGTCATAATCCTTTTGACAAGGGATGCTTTAAGAATTGCATGGAAGTCTTCTGTGGTCCACAGCCAGCAAGGTAATTCAAAGAAATGAGCACAGTCTTCATCACAAACTGTGGAGAAATTCATTTAATTACTTCTAGCAGTATTGATGTTAATATTCATAAATATCGCAGGCATGATTTTAAAGCAACTTGTGAAGATTACCAAGTGTATACTTAATGAGGGACTACAATATAAAAGGGAAATGTAATTTGTCACATAGACTTCATTCATAAACTATTTAAAAATCTGTTTATGGGGCTGTCTGTTTTAAACCCATTTGAAAATTAGTTATTTTCAAGCAATGTGGTAAATATAACTAGATTGGGTGTTCAAATTATAGACAAAAGATGATATTTGGTTGGAGGTCTTCATAAATTCCAAGTTGTCTTAATTGAAAAGGAAATTTATTCTAAAAAAGAAAAACACTTTCACATCTCTAGGGCTGAATTTCAGTAGAATTTATTGTTCAAATACATGGTATAAGGTCTGATGGTATTGATTTGAAAACAAGAAGATACAGCAATATAAAATAATTGTTATTGAACATTAGTTTAATCCAAAGTTTGATCTTGCATGGTTGAGAATATGAAGTTTGACTTTCATTGATAACCCTCTTGCTTTCATCTTGGTAACCTTATATTCTACAGGTATGTGGGTTTCAAAAGCAAACCAGTCTCGCTTGCTGCCATGTACATGCCGGTGCACACCACCTCCACGACAGGCAACGGCGTCACCGACAACCAGATCCACGTCCGGGTGGAGAGTGGGAGAACGACGGTCACGCCGCAACACACGATGACGCCGCAGCAGCACACGATGGCACCAGCCGTCAATAACAAACAACATCAGGTGAGGTCTGTGTATCTTTGCTTTCTTCATTTCATCACCTAGAAGTGAACATCACCGCCTAACACCACCGACATCACTGGCCCTCACTGGGAGGAAGAGGAAGATGAAGGAACACATCACCGGTTGTAGTGGTTACTAACAATATCCATCAAGCAGTGTTATATATAACAACATGTGCCTACAAGTGGGAATCATGCACTTACCTTTTTGAAGCAAATAAGACATTTTTTAGAGCACACAATATTTTATCTTTTCACATGTGTTCAGAGCACATTTTCCAACTCGGTGAAAATAGCTGGTTTTTTTATTTCGGGGGCTACTTTTTCATCTTTTGGGGGGCTCCTTTTTCCATTTTGTGTGCTACTCTTTCCATTTCGTGTGCTTCTCTTTTCAGGGGCTACATTTTCATTAATTCATAAAAGGGGACAATTGCGGCGACTAAGAAATGCACACAATGAATACAAAGTTTAAGGCATTGTTTAACAATGCCAAATCTGAGATGCAAAGCCCTACGCATTATCAGCCTCTGTGATATGGTGTTATATTGAAGCCCTAAAAAAAAATTGCACTTCAAAATGATCATGAAGTGTCTCAAAAAAGTAAAAATCTTTGAGTGACCCATTTTACTCATTTTCCCCAATAAACTGTAATGCTATAAAAACCATTAGGGAAAAGGGTTTTGAAAGAAATTTCGAATTCTAATCATAAATGTCTTGATAATCAGACGGGTGATCAGCTTGTATACGTCATGGTGTTCCTGACTGACCTAAAGGTTTATAATTATGATTGTAGCATGAGCTAAATCAAGGATTTTGTTTAAAATCTGAGACAAAGATACCTTATCCCTTTAAGAAAGAGGGGCTGCTCGTAGTCGTGCGGCAATTGTTAAAGGGCGATTGTGGATCATTTCTTTTTTGAAGTTTTGGCCTATTTTGAGGACTCTTTTCGGTATTTCCAGGGCAAATTTGCCTGCTGCCTCATGTATTTTTTTCCCTGTTCCAACTTCAACTGTTTACTAAAATAATGTGTCATCTTAACTGGTTGATCGCCTCTCAATTTACTTACTCTACATACAAATATATCTCGGGCCAGATGAACCCTTCTTTCCTTGATGTTAAGTATACATGCACGGGATTCCGATCACATAAGTTTGCATTTTGCTGTCCATACGGTGTGTAATACATGTATGTGGCATGGTCAGAGCCACACCACGATGTCTGACATACGAGGGAAAGCACGATTCCCATGTCACTATCTATGCTTAACTTAAAATCTTGCACGGGAAGAATTACAGAACGCTGCAATTGGCACTCCTAGTCAATCTACAGTAAATCATGAAACATGGATCATTCATTTAGCCATATGATCAACTTTGCGCCAGTCATCAGATTGGATTACATATACAATTATGTTAATTTATTCATCACTCCAATTTAATAAGGGTGGCCTATTTAGAAGACCTGGTTTTCAATTGGGTCCTTTGCGTGAGCACATAGAAATTGCACCCAAAACAAATATATACTTTAGATATCACAAGAATTATTATTAATTCGGACATTGAAATGATAAACATTTATAGTATTGTAGCTCTCATACAAAATGTCTACTGCTTATGGCACCTTCTCCTTCTATATTCCCCAAAAAGATACATGTATGTAAATACATACTATCAAACATCAGGGAAAGATTAATTTCCTGTGAGTACACTCAGGTATTGTATATTTGGTACATACTATGATTGCTTGGGATTTTCATTCTTTAGGACTAACCATGTATGCTGTTATAAATAAGCATACTGAAAACATTATATACAAAATATTAAAAAATAATTAAAATATCTTAAACAACATGAAATACAATTTCAAAGTCTCAATGAATAAGAGAAATTTGCCTCTTTGTATTTGTTCATTCAGTATATTAGTGTGGTACAGTATGTCACTGAAACAGCTCCCGTAGGACTGTTGTGCCAAAGTTATTTTTTTTTTTTGCATTTTTGGATTCATTGGGGTCCAAGCTATCAAAAATTGATGGGGTTCAAATTTTCCTGAAGACACCAAATTTCCCTATTGCGCTTTATATAAGCCATTTTGGTGCCCAAAATGGACCCCAAAATGGACCCCACAGGAAGTGAAGGAGGGGTCTGAAAAAGTGAAGAAGGGGTCTGAAAATTTGAACCCCATCATTTTGGGCCGATTGGGACCCTTTTGAAGCCAAAACAGCAACAACAAAAAATGAACTTTGGCAAAAAAAATCCTACGGGATTACATACCATACTGCTGTTTGATACACCTTTTAAACATGTCCCATCCCAGCCCCCCCCCCCCCCCTGTTAAATTGCCTTTTTGTCGGACATTGATTAACTTATCTTGTCCTGTTTCGCCAAACTAACCTCAGATATTTGATCCGCTGTCAGCTGTAGGGATGATTGATAGTTTATGCCATTCTATTTGTGTTCATGACCCTCAGGTACACTCTTCTGTAGGCAACAACCACACAGCACCTTATTTCTCAGACATCAGGAGAGAGGGTTTAGGGGATGAGAGTCAGGGAGACGACTGCGAGGCCGAGCCACCACCACCACCACCATCATCGGTCAACCCCTACAACCAGGTCCACCTGTACCAACACCAGGACGTAGCTAGCTCATCCCCTCAGACCGACAACAGGATACGCTACTCAAGAAGGGACCCTCCTAGCTTCAGCAATGAGAGCAAGTCAGCCACACCCTCGCACGGGAGCAGCGAACTGATAAACAGTCCTGCATCGCGGCGTAACAACCACCGCGAATGGGACATGAGCAGCACGCCTTCATCAGGCAGTGTGCACAGTCCGCACAGGCAAAGCCCACGCAGCAGCTCAAAGGGCAACAATGCGCACCACGCCATGAAAACAAATAATGTGAACCACCAAGAGAACAACATCCATGCACAACACAACAATCATAAAGCAAACAATGCCCCCAACCATGTTAAACCCGAAATGCAGCATGTAGCCATGCGGAATCGGGAGGGGTCACGGCTCAGGCGTCCCATCTCGTTCGTCACGGCGCTTAAGATGAGCGAGGAGTCAGAGTCGATGATGCGCAGCCAGGAGAAACCAACGAACAGTGCCCCTGTGAGAAGTAAATCAACCAAGGCAGACGTTGGACGCAACAACCACACAGCACCCACTGTCAAACGCTCCAATACAAGTTTCAACTCTAGCCATAATGCCAGTCACATAGTGCAAGTCAACGGAGAAGATAGGACTCAAATGATGACTTACGAAGTGTCCGTTTGAGACACACCATTTATTACTGAAATCTTCTCTCGCTTTTTCTCTGTTTTGTAGATAAATCATTCTAACAATGGTTAGGAAATTCAAGTAAATCAACTTCTTTCACATACTGAGAAACACTTCACTTCCAGGGAGTTATGCCTCCATTACACATTCTGATCCAGCTAGCATTAGAAATAATATCAACTTCTTAATTCTTCATTGCTGTTTTCAATCAGTCATGCAAGATTTACTAATCTCTCTCTCAACAACTCTTATTTTTATAGTAGAGACAGACAACAAATTGAAAAGAAAAATGTGATATTTAACATATTTAGAGGAAGGCATAAAGCTAACAGAATTACTAGAGCGATATAATTGTATATACCAGGAGCTGTTTTATTTTTCTTGTGGAATTGTTCATTGCCGCTTACCTACCTGCTGAAAACCTCCACCTCGTCAAAACTTATGCGGTCAAATAATCCCTTAGCTAGATATCAAGAAATCTTACAAAATGTGCAAGCCATGTATAAGAACAGGATCCTATCAAGAATAAGAGGTTATGATCTTGCTCCATTCAGTTCTTTACAGGTGCATCAGGAGATGTGGTCATAGTGAATTACACTCATATATGCGTCATACATACTACAGTGAGAGCTGGGAAATCCGGTGGCCAGCGATCGGTCATTTTGTGTCAGAAATAAGACGGGAGGAGGGCAAAATTTCCCACCCTGTAATTTTTGTGCAGTGCTATTTTTTTTAAATGATATAAATCCGAATTCCTATGTCTATCAATCTATTGCATGAAATAGATATGAAGATGGATGGAGCCGTCAAGTTATGAGGTTTGGTTTGTGGTATTTTGGTTTCTGAATCACAGTTTTCGGTATCCTTTTTTTCCAATTTTCGAAGGATAGTTTGGAAACATCCTGAAAAATAACATATTTTGAATTGTTGGAATTCGAAAAATGAAACATTGGCTATTGTATCGTTTTGATTCAAATGATGTGTCTTTGAATTAAAGAAAAGCTAAGTGCATTGAGAAGCCAATCACTAATTCAGCCTCAATATACAAGAGGGGCAGGAATGATTGAGATTTTAAAAGTTCTATAAAAAGCACGATAAAGGAGATTGTAAAAAGACCAAAATCATTATCTGGGATCTTTCAAATAATTAAGTATTTTCAGAAACAATTTTCTTTTATTTAAGAATTTTAACAAGAAGAGCAATGATTTCTATCAAAAATATGATGAACTTTTAATATCCAAGGGTTGAAATAATAGTTCTTAAATATAAAAAGTGTGTTAAAAGTTGCAGCCAAACAGCAAGCCAAAAACGGCCCCTTGAAATTTCCATATCAATTTTCAAAAGAGCTACTATGAAAAAGTAATAAAGTTTCGCACTGTATTGGAATGACATAAAAAATCACCACTGCCCTGCTGATACAATGTGGAAAAACTCACAAAATTGCTGTGTGTGACATAGACTTCTCAATCAAAGTAAACAGAGGGGCGATTCCAGGCAATGTGTCTGGTATGACATTTCTTTTTTTACACATAGTTCATCCATAAATGAACGAGTATTGTGGTGTGGCCAATGAAACATCATGCTTTCTGCTACCATTACATAGACATAGTTGTATCTAGAGATTCTTTTTTTCATGGATGAAATACGTGGATATATGGCATATGTCCCACAAGATGCATTGTATGGAATCGCCCAGAGATATGATAACTAAAGGATTCGTTGTTGTTTATGTAGACCTTATTTTTGCTAAAAGACATTCTAAAGCTTATACATGGAATTAAAACAGAGTAAGTCAAGTGTTATGCTACATGTCTGCACCCTTTATGTCTGTTCTGTAACTTCACCAAAATCAGTGTTTGGGTGTATTTTCCTGTGGAGAAGTTGTATTTTGTTGGAGGAAAATGTCCAAGAATTTGTCAATTTGTGTACAGGTAGTGCTGAGTTGGATGTACAAAAGGAAATGCTTTCAGGAGATCGGGGTGTTGGTGACGGTCAGAAAATCACTGTGTTTCATCATCTCATTACCTACATTGCATCTTCACACCGATATGATCTTACTACTGTTTCTTTTGTGCCCTCATTGAGCTGTTCGTCTTTGGAAATCTGAAGTTTGTAGTCTTGAAGAGAATACAAACTTTACTGATGTTGTTCCAATAGTCTTTGTAAAGAAATGAGAAGAAATAAAGTGGTATATATCAGTTGTCTGGATAAATACAAAGAATCTTGTAATTGGATAGTTTAAACTTAATGCAAATGAGTATACTGTGAAAATGAGCCTCCCTTATGTTGTCATGAATCTGCAGACATTTTTTTAATTGCCTTTCCATTTCAGGTACATACTCTTCATGTATATTCTTAAATATATAGATTGAGAGAGCAGAATTTTTCCTCTCGAGCAATGTCGTTATTATTGCAGTTACATCTCAACTGTGAACTGCTCACAGAGCTAGGAATTCAAAACATTATCGTAAATTAACAGTCCTTTCGAAGTCTTTCATTAGGTTCACCTGGGGCCCGTTTCACAAAGCCTTTTTTAATGACAAATGACAAAAATCAGTGAAAAATCTGTTGATAACCTATCAGAAGCAAGGATTTCAGTAGCTTATAACAAAAACTGTCATATGTCACTGATGACAAGTTTTGTGCAACGCCCCCCAGGTTGTCCAGTATTGATTGAAGAGGTTGAGATGTCATTTTTAGTTGTAATTCTCCATAATTTATAAAGAATGGTAATATTTATTGAACTAGACTCATATTAACACAGGGTGTAAATTATTCTAATGAACCAATCAAGATCTTATCTCTTGACAAGAAACACAAGAGTTCCTACTTTTACGTCGTATTTATGTTCTGGTTGAGATGTCATTTTTAGTTGTAATTCTCCATAATTTATAAAGAATGGTAATATTTATTGAACTAGACTCATATTAACACAGGGTGTAAATTATTCTAATGAACCAATCAAGATCTTATCTCTTGACAAGAAACACAAGAGTTCCTACTTTTACGTCGTATTTATGTTCTGGTACATTTGTATATTTTCTGCCTTTCTTTTGTATTTATTGTAAAGTATGATATTTTCTGAAGAAATGAAAAATGAGTGATTTTTCTGCTTCCCTGTATTTATGTGTCGTATGTCATGTATTTTTTACTCGGTGTGTCGAGTTGTAGGTTCTTGGTCGAGACAGGTGCGTCTCGTCAGCACTGGACAGCTTTGGTCAAATGCAATGGGTTTAGAGTTACATGTATTATGGTAACAATGTAGTGATTAGTGAATTTTATTATGCTGTTATTAAAGAACATATAGATTGTTGTCGTAAAAATATAGAAATATATACAAATTCTGCGTTTTAATTGTCTGTTAGTAGCCAGAAGGGTGTTAACTCCTATATACTTTAACACAGATTAAACATCCTTTTGACTACAAACAATCGAAATAGAGTCTCAAGAAATGTCATTCAGATTGAACTAGTATATATGCAATTTTGAATTAAATTTTGTTTTGATTGATCAGGTAGATGTCTTTTTATTTAAACTTTTTTTGTATGAGAATTTTTTGGAAAAGGTTCACGGTGATTGGTACCATCAAATATACTCATTTTGAATTAATATTTGTAGGAATAGTCCCTATTCAAAATTTGAAATGATCAATAATACTCAAATTACAATTCATTTTTACGTTTGAAATGCAATCTGCATTTCTCTAGCCAAAGTAAACCATTGAAATTTATCAAGAGACTGTTCCCAGTGCAGAGCCTTTTTCAGACATGATACAGTGAACTGCCTCAGAAAAAAACTACTGCAACACAATAAAAATGTTTAATGTGTAAACGAATGACAAATGGTGAAAACAAAGAAAATAAGAACATGAAACATAGGCCCCCATGTCTACTGTAATCATCTCTCTGTGGTAATATATCGTCTGTTTGGAGCCAGAAGGGCTTTGACTGATATACTTTACAGCGTTAACAACCTCTTAGCTCACAAGTTAACACACTTCAGGATCCAAACACATGATATCTATATTTCAACCTCGGCAGTTCTGTCTATCAAATTTGAACCGACAAGTTCTTCATATTGGGTGAATATATGAGAACGATGATATGCATGCAATATTTCCTCTGTTTAGAGCCACAAGGGTGTTAAATCGCACTCTTTATCACAGAGTTAACACCCTTCCAACTCTGATCAAATGATTTGTTTCATCAAATTCAGGTATTTGTAATCTCATGGCCTGCTTCTTCTCTATTCATCCCTGTTACATTCAGGGGGCGTTTCATGAAACAATTAGTCAGTGGTTTCACCGACAATTTTATCGCACCGAATATTTTCCAGGCCTCTGATTGGTCAAATTTAGTCAGCGCTGACAATTGTCGGCAGCCCGCGGACAAATGTTGATGAAACGCCCCCTGGTTGCCATCCATGCCATATGTTTTCAGCTAAGATAATACATGTACCGGCAATGGAAGTGCAGGAAATGTGTAGGAAAGCATGCATGTCCTGTACGTAATGATATTCTAATGTACCTATACCATATGCTGTGCAAAAAAAAAGGCTCATGTGCAGGTAACAAAGTGTGTACAACACGGCTCAAATGACCCCAAATATTCACAGATCTGTTAAACACGGAGAAGTCAGACTTTGTGCAATTTAGAAAAATCACTGCCAAAGTCATGGAGGTGTTTCATGAAAAACCTTTGTTTGCCCTCCTGAGAAAAAAACTTCCACCTGTGTTCCATAGAATGTATCGTGAGCCATAAATGAATAGATTACATAACTTTCATGAGCACATATCCAGTATATTTGTCCTGGTGGATTTACAATTTTGTACAAATGACCATTATTTGCCCAAGCCCAGATTGTATCTACAAACTGGATTATTGGAAGCTCTCTAGAATTGTACAGGTTTGACACATGCTACACTATTCTTCTTTTTTTCTTTTCCTTTTTTTTCCCCATTTTTTTCTTTGTTGCTGCATCAGTTAGGTTAGGCAGATCATTGCACCATGACTGTGAGCAAGGCTTAAAAGTGTAAATGTTTTATGTTTTATGTCATTGAAGAGAATGGATGCAAATGGGACACAGAATTATGTATATGTACTTGTATCTGAATAAAAGATAAGAAATATAAGTTGTGTTGGTGGATTTACATCTCTATTGAAGAACTATGTGGGGCTTTTTTTTTTCCTCCTTTTTTCTGGTAAAGAAAGTAAGATAAATAAAGAATTCATTCTTACAAAGCTGTACAAACATTTATCAAATGGTTATAATTCATGAGATGAGAAAAAAGAGTTCTTTTGTTTTTGTAATAAACTGTCTAAGTGATATAAAGAAATGAATGAACTGATTGTATTTGTATTTATTCTGACTTTGTGTTATGAGTTTTTAATTTATATTTCTTCCTGTGAACCAGAATAAGAATTGCAGTTGTGCGCTACCCCCCCCCCCCCCCCCCCCAAAGAATGCTGGGTCTTCTGATGCAATTCATACAACACTGCCTTTCTTCTGCAAATGAGCTCCATTCCCCACCCTCTACCTCTCTCTCTACCTTTTTCTATTTTGCTCTCTCTCTCTCTTTCCTTCTTCTCTTAATATCTATACATGTATGTGTGTATTGCCCTCCCTCCAAGTTTCATTCTTTCCTTCGCCTACTATTCTTTCGTCCATCTCTTATTCTCTCCTCCGCCTATTATTCTTTCCTCCATCTCTTATTCTTTCCTCTACCTACTATTCTTTCGTTCATCTCTTATTCTTTCCTTCACCTACTATTCTTTCGTCCATCTCTTATTCTTTCCTTCACCTACTATTCTTTCGTCCATCTCTTATTCTTTCCTCCGCCTACTATTCTTTCGTTCATCTCTTATTCTTTCCTCCACCTACTATTCTTTCGTCCATCTCTTATTCTTTCCTTCACCTACTATTCTTTCGTCCATCTCTTATTCTTTCCTTCACCTACTATTCTTTCGTCCATCTCTTATTCTTTCCTTCACCTACTATTCTTTCGTCCATCTCTTATTCTTTCCTCTGCCTACTATTCTTTCCTCCATCTCTTATTCTTTCGTCCATCTCTTATTCTTTCCTCCACCTACTATTCTTTCGTCCATCTCTTATTCTTTCCTTCACCTACTATTCTTTCGTCCATCTCTTATTCTTTCCTTCACCTACTATTCTTTCGTCCATCTCTTATTCTTTCCTTCACCTACTATTCTTTCGTCCATCTCTTATTCACTCCTCCACCTACTATTCTTTCGTCCATCTCTTATTCTTTCCTTCACCTACTATTCTTTCGTCCATCTCTTATTCTTTCCTCCGCCTACTATTCTTTCCTCCATCTCTTATTCTTTCGTCCATCTCTTATTCTTTCCTCCACCTACTATTCTTTCGTCCATCTCTTATTCTTTCCTTCACCTACTATTCTTTTGTCCATCTTTTATTCTTTCCTCCACCTACTATTCTTTCGTCCATCTCTTATTCTTTCCTCCGCCTACTATTCTTTCGTCCATCTCTTATTCTTTCCTCCGCCTACTATTCTTTTGTCCATCTTTTATTCTTTCCTCCACCTACTATTCTTTCGTCCATCTCTTATTCTTTCCTCCACCTACTATTCTTTCGTCCATCTCTTATTCTTTCCTCCGCCTACTATTCTTTTGTCCATCTTTTATTCTTTCCTCCACCTACTATTCTTTTGTCCATCTTTTATTCTTTCCTCCACCTACTATTCTTTCGTCCATCTCTTATTCTTTCCTCCGCCTACTATTCTTTTGTCCATCTCTTATTCTCTCCTCCACCTACTATTCTTTCGTTCATCTCTTATTCTCTCCTCCACCTACTATTCTTTCGTTCATCTCTTATTCTTTCCTCCACCTACTGTTCTCTTGTCCATCTCTTATTCTCTCCTCCACCTACTATTCTTTTGTCCATCTCTTATTCTTTCCTCCACCTACTATTCTTTCGTCCATCTCTTATTCTTTCCTCCGCCTACTATTCTTTCGTCCATCTCTTATTCTTTCCTTCACCTACTATTCTTTTGTCCATCTCTTATTCTTTCCTTCACCTACTATTCTTTTGTCCATCTCTTATTCTTTCCTCCGCCTACTATTCTTTTGTCCATCTCTTATTCTCTCCTCCACCTACTATTCTTTTGTCCATCTCTTATTCTCTCCTCCACCTACTATTCTTTTGTCCATCTCTTATTCTTTCCTCCGCCTACTATTCTTTTGTCCATCTCTTATTCTTTTATCCGCCTATTATTCTTTCGTCCATCTCTTATTCTTTCATTCACCTGTAAAATACGTCAGTGCAGTACAAGAGCTATGATGATAGTCTGTTTTATAATCAAAGATGATTACATGGGCAAATGATCTTAAAAGGTACCTTATTTTTTTGTTCAGAGTGGGCTCACTCATATTTATATTATTTACATCTATTACATTTATCATTATTTTGATCCCTTAAACTTTTGTTTCTCTCTTTAATTGCCCTCAAAACTCATTTGGTAAATATTGCTTTCCAGTCTAGCTTTTTAGATAGAAGTTGTTTTATGTGTGTGTGGGGTGTGTCTTCTCAAGCTCTTACTTTTCTTCTCTTTTTTGAGCACTTTAGCCATGTGGAGTTGGCACATCATAATTACTAATTCATGTATAGATTTTAGCTTATTCATTTAGGGTCCCATCTATAAAATATCAGATGGCAGAGTAACTGTTCTAGTGCAAGCCACGAACGGAGGTTCGGTAAGGAAAAGAATACACTCAGTGACTGATCTTAAGAGAATATGAAAATATTGTCATGTAAAGCGTAAACAGGTAAATGCTGAGTTAATATACATTTATGCTCATATCAGTAGACTATCACTCAATGTAGTGAAACCATATTCAGCTGTTGAGAAATAATGCGAATACCATGTATTAGTCATAATATCCGTTTGTACTACCGATACATTCTATTATATTGCAGACTTTTCCGTTTTTTGTTTTTGATAGGATATAGTTTAAGGTACTATGTTGTGTACTTGTATTTTATGTAATAGGCAGAATTCTACAACTTGTGATAATTGCTCTCTTTGCAATCGAAGCTCAAGAGAGTATAAATCTTTAGCTACTACATTTAATGAAGAACTTCTTCCGGATAACAAAGTTTATACTCCTGATGAATTTTATGAATCTACTAAAAATTTCGATACTTGTTCTACAGTGACTTTATTTCATTTTAACCGATCGGACGTAGTTTAAAGCGCAATTTCGATAATTTCTTACAATTTGTCCGAACATTTATTCTTTCCTCCGCCTATTATTCTTTCGTCCATCTCTTATTCTTTCGGTAAGGAAAAGAATACACTCAGTGACTGATCTTAAGAAAATATGAAAATATTGTCATGTAAAGCGTAAACAGGTAAATGCTGAGTTAATATACATTTATGCTCATATCAGTAGACTATATCACTCAATGTAGTGAAACCATGTTCAGCTGATGAGAAATAATGCGAAAACCATGTATTAGTCATAATATCCGTTTGTACTACCGATACATTCTATTATATTGCAGACTTTTCCGTTTTTTTGTTTTTGATAGGATATAGTTTAAGGTACTATGTTGTGTACTTGTATTTTATGTAATAGGCAGAATTCTACAACTTGTGATAATTGCTCTCTTTGCAATCGAAGCTCAAGAGAGTATAAATCTTTAGCTACTACATTTAATGAAGAACTTCTTCCGGATAACAAAGTTTATACTCCTGATGAATTTTATGAATCTACTAAAAATTTCGATACTTGTTCTACAGTGACTTTATTTCATTTTAACCGATCGGACGTAGTTTAAAGCGCAATTTCGATAATTTCTTACAATTTGTCCGAACATTTATTCTTTCCTCCGCCTATTATTCTTTCGTCCATCTCTTATTCTTTCGGTAAGGAAAAGAATACACTCAGTGACTGATCTTAAGAAAATATGAAAATATTGTCATGTAAAGCGTAAACAGGTAAATGCTGAGTTAATATACATTTATGCTCATATCAGTAGACTATATCACTCAATGTAGTGAAACCATGTTCAGCTGATGAGAAATAATGCGAAAACCATGTATTAGTCATAATATCCGTTTGTACTACCGATACATTCTATTATATTGCAGACTTTTCCGTTTTTTGTTTTTGATAGGATATAGTTTAAGGTACTATGTTGTGTACTTGTATTTTATGTAATAGGCAGAATTCTACAACTTGTGATAATTGCTCTCTTTGCAATCGAAGCTCAAGAGAGTATAAATCTTTAGCTACTACATTTAATGAAGAACTTCTTCCGGATAACAAAGTTTATACTCCTGATGAATTTTATGAATCTACTAAAAATTTCGATACTTGTTCTACAGTGACTTTATTTCATTTTAACTGCCGTAGTTTAAAGCGCAATTTTGATAATTTCTTACAATGTGTCCAAACAATAATTGGGGTCACTGAAACATGGCTTAAGAGTGATGATGATGATAGCTAGTTTCTCTTCCCCAATATTCCTTCCTAAGTAATCCTGGACAAGGAAAAAGAGGGGGAGGCGTGGGAGTATTTATTCATGACAAAATAAGATTTAAAAGAAGACCAGATTTAGATGTGTTTACTAATGCTGTTGAGAGTATTTCCATTGAGGTATATAATAAAGTACAGAATTATATAGTTCTTGTTATGTATAGACCACCACACCAAGGAGTACAATCTTTTATAAATGATACACAAGCACCGCTGAATGTTATTATGAATGAGAAAAAGGAGAGCATCATTATGGGTGATTTTAATGTTGATCTATTGAAACTTGATGTTATTTCATATGTTAATGAATTCATTGATAACTTTATTTCACTTTCTTACTTACCACAAATAATCAAGCCAACCCGAATAACCTCACATTCTGCGACTACTTTGGATAATTTCTTCTGTAATAATCCAGAAAAGGTTAAGCTGAGTGGAATAATTTTAACAGATGTCAGTGATCATCTTACTCCTTTTATCATGATTTTATCTCAACCTGATACAGATGATCCTCAAATAATTTACTCAAAACGTGACTTCAGTGATGTTCACATCAATACATTTTGTTCAAAGTTACAGTCTGTGAAGTGGGAATTTTCAGATCGTCTTGATGATGTTAATCAGAAGTATGAAAGTTTTCTTGAAATATATGTGAAATTGTATAACGAATGTTTCCAAAAGGTAGAGATGAAAAGAAAGAAACATGCAAATGTTAAACCTTGGATTACAATAGAAATTAAGAAAATGAGTAAATATAGATATATTTTATACAAAAAATATCTTAAAAATCCTACGACATATCGCAGAACGACTTATGTAAATTTTAGAAATAGATTTAATGACTTGATACGTGATACAAAACGTAAATATCGAACAATGCAAAGAAAACATGGAATGTTATAAATGAAGTTTTGAACAAAAGAAAAAGTAAGCATGATGTTAATGAAATCGAATATGAAGGTAGATCTATAAAGGATAAATCTCATATTGTAAATTTATTCAATGATTACTTTAGTACAGTTGGACAGAAAATTCATGATAAGTTGGATAGTGCAGTAACTACATCATTTAATAGCTTTTTACAGGGATCTGTTTGTGAGTCTTTATTTTTTAGCCCAATTACAGAATCTACTATAATTAATATTATATCGAGTTTTGATGTAAGTAAATGTCCTGGTTACGATGAAATTAGTGCTAAAATTGTTAAATCTTCTATTAATGCAATTGTGTCTCCTTTGTGCAATATATTTAATTCTTCTCTTAAAAAAGGCATATTTCCTAATGCATTAAAAATAGCTAAAGTTATACCAATTTATAAGAATGGCAGTAAAAATATGTTGAATAATTATAGACCAATCTCTATTTTATCAATTTTTAGTAAAATTTTAGAAAAAATTGTTTATGATAAATTAATATCTTTTATTGAAAAACACAATATTTTGCACAATAAACAATTTGGCTTTAGATAGGGATATAGTACTACCCATGCATTGATTGAATTAACAGATAAAATTGCCAAAGCCTTTGAAAAGAAACACATAGTGATATCTCTCTTTTTAGACCTGTCAAAGGCGTTTGACTGTATTGACTATTCAATTTTACTTAAAAAACTGAAATATTATGGAATAAGGGGAAATGCAATACAGTGGTTTGAAAGTTATTTGTGCAATAGGAAGCAATATGTAAGCGTTGGTAATTTTAATTCAGAATGTAAAAGTATTTCAGTAGGTGTACCTCAGGGATCTAATCTCGGCCCCCTTTTATTTTTACTTTATATTAATGATCTGCAATATGTTAGCAATATTTTATCAGTAATTTTATTTGCAGATGACACAAGTTTATTTTTATCAGGTAAAGATCCAGTTGCATTGAATAATCTATATTCAGAAATGAAAAGCATACAAACTTGGTTTACAGCCAATAAACTCTACATTAATCGCGATAAAACATGTTATATGATATTTAAGAGTATGTATTGTAGAATACAAGATAATGTAATAAATATTGAACTTAATGATCTAAGTATAAAGAGAGAAACCAGTACTAAATTTCTTGGAGTAATCATTGACGAAAACTTGAACTGGAAGGAGCATGTTAATTACATTGCTTTAAAAATATCTAAATCCATTGGAGTCTTTAATATTTTAAAACACATTTTACCACTGAAGATTTTAACAAATTTGTATAACTGTATGATTCTATCACATTTTATGTATTCTAATATTGTATCGGGCGGTTGCTCATTTTATTTATCACAAAAATTGTTTTTACTACAGAAACGTGCAATACGAGCAATTACCAAATCAAACTATTTAGCACATACCCAACAATTATTTAAAAAGTTAAAAATATTGAATATATTTGATATAAATAAATTACAACTAGCATCGTTTATGTTTTCTTATTCTAAACAACTATTGCCCAATAACTTTCATGACTATTTCGAATATAATTGCAACATCAATAAATATAAAACAAGAAATTCCAATAAAATGTATGTACCTTTTTATATTTTTAACTTTTCAAGAACTACAGTAAGTTTTAAAGGCCCACAGCTTTGGAATGAGTTGCCAAACGTATTAAAAGAAATATCCACTGTTTTTACATTCAGGAAAAAATATAAATGTTATCTTTTTAATTGTGAGTAGTTTTATTTGATCTAATTGCCTTTTATGTGATTTATGTAAATAATTATGTTGTGTTTTTATGTGATTATGCTATGTTATATTATCTGTTTGTTTGATTGTTTTTATTTTTTATATTTTGTATAATGTATTTCTTTTGAAGGGTGGAAATATAGGGGATCAACCTTGACAGGCCAATGGCCTTTGTTGATCCCTCACATCCTCCACCCTTCATCCTTCTTTCATCAGTACAATGTAAATGAATGTTTTTTTGTATATATTTATATTGTTTTAATTTATAATGATTTGTTTGTATATCTTTTGATGTGTTTTTAAAGTGATGTGAAATAAATTGAATACTTGAATACTTGAAATATAGTTTTACAAGAGGGCCCTTGAAAAACGATCACACCACCCAAACATCAATGAAGTCGTATTACATCGCATTACAAAGTACAATAAAGTAAAAAAAAAAAATCATATTTTATCTTTTAATAATTATTATGATGGGAAACTTAACTAACTTCTATAAGCAATTTTTTTTTGCATAATACATTTTTATATAAGCATTTTATTATCATATGTACGTATATATTTTTCTTGGAGAATTTAATAATAATAATAATAAAGCGGTTTTGAATAGTGCATAGAGGCATATAGCACGTAAGCATAATTGCATGTCAATGCATTTTTCGAAACAGCATACAGAAGGAGTGGAAATTTCTAAGGTATTCAGGCAAGTTATTCCATAAAACAGTGGCTGCATACGACAGCACTGTACATCAACTGCTTCCTGAAAAGCACCGTGCTAAACGATGACTGAAGTTGTAGTTTTGATACCCTATACAGGGAAACCCGTCTAACATCTCAAATTTCAGACTCTTAACAGGGATTTTTATATACTGCAGGATAGTTTACACCCTATTCCAGGATTGCTCTTATATATATATATATATTGGTGTTTGTCATAATTAGCAATAACCGATGTATTTGCAATTTACATTCTGTCTATCGAATTACAATAATAATATATTACAGATGAATATAATAGTTCGTTGCTAATTAAACTTGTATAAAAACTTGCCTACGAAAAGATAAGGTTGGTAGAAGCTTAAACTACATATTGTTTGTACAAATTTGAATGCATTTTGAAAAACGGCTTATTGCTCCTCTCTCACTGTCGATGGTTCTCCACATTGATGTTTTACATCATTCTGTGCAATTATTCCATCTCTTACTGAACTAATTTTTTTTTGTCTAAGGTGATATTTTTGTACAATAATCCTAATATTCCTGAGCATGCATGCTCAATAGAATTTATCCTTGAATATTTAACGACATTGCCTAAATTTATTTTGATAACTATACTTATTCACACCTTCGATACATTTTTCTAAATCGTATATAATACTGCTGTGTGATGTAACCAATGTTATTTTGTTATATTCCTTTTGCATTTTGATGTTTGTCTTATAATGTAAATATCTGATTACTTTGTAAAACAGACAATGTTATTCTTAAGCTGCATTTCATGTTTTTACTTAATAAACCAATTCAATTCAATCTAATTCAATTCATTTCCTCTATCAATCTCTTTTTATATCACAAAATAACCATTCCATTAAGACTCATTATGTAGTCTCTTACACATATTTTAATAAAATCCGGTTAAATTAAAGATTATTCTTACATCTATACATGCGCACATTCTTAATATGGAACCTTATCATACTACGCATGATATTACATTTTAAAATTATCTACGATTAAAAAAACTGTATCACCACCTCATCAAGAGCATATTGTGAGAAACATAGGGCCCGCTTGAGTTTTATTTCATAGTCATGTCATCAAAAAATGAAAAATAGACGGTAGAAAAAGGTACATGACTTTGTCGGTGCGTATTATAAGCTGATTTTTTTTTCAAAGGAATGAATAACCTCTTTTATCAACATTTCTTTCATAAAAATGGTACCTCACATTAATATATGTTGGAGATGTCACTACACTTGAAATCTTATCAATTAAATTTCACCAAGTTGTCTACAAAATTATTTACACACCCTTTAGCTTATTACATACAAATGCACGAAGTCTTGTTAAAAATTATGAATATCTGAACATTCTGCTGTCGGCCCTCACCAAACCGTTTTCAGTCATAGGAGTCACAGAAACGTGGCTTAATGATACATCTCCATCTACTTTATGTAATATTGTCAATTATTCGATTGTACGTTCTGATAGAAAAACCGGAAGGGGTGGTGGAGCTGCTATGTTTATCTCAAACTTGTTAACATACAAAATTAGATCTGACCTTAGTTTGAAGAGTGATGGTACTGACTCGATATGCATTGAAATCAATATGGCTCAAAGGAAAAACATCTTGATATGTACAATATATAGGCCTCCGCATACAAATGTTGAATTATTTTTGGATGAGTTTGATAGGATGCTGCATAAGGTCAATCTAGAAAATAAGGATGTTTACTTGATGGGTGATTTTAATATTGATCTTTTGCAGGAAGATAATACTTTTCATAATATGTTACGATCAAATTCATACAATGCCATGATTGATAAACCAACCAGATTGGCAAATAACTCTTCTACATTGATAGATAACATTTTTACAAATGTCACCAATAACTATATAGGCTCTGGCCTCTTGTATAGTGAAATCTCTGACCACCTTCCAATTTTCCTGATTTGTAATCATGTTCGCAATTATCCTGAGGACGAAAAGAATCAAGCTATGATACGTAAAATCACAGCTGAAAAAATAGCCATGTTTAATGACGAACTACTCAAAGTAACATGGAATGACGTGGTCGCATGTACTGACACCAATAAGGCATATGCACTTTTTTGGAACTTGTTCTCCTCTCTTTTAAATAAACATATCCCAATGACTAAAAAAAGATCGGCAAGAAATAGAATCAAGCAGCCATGGATAACTAAAGGTATCTTTTGCTCTATTAAAAAACGGAATAGATTATATAAATATAGTCTTCGACACCCAGGAGAGGAAAGCTTGAATAATTACAAATCATATAGGAACAAACTAACCACCATTATTAGACAGTCTCGACAAATGTATTTTGCCAAGCAGTTTGAAAATGCAAATGGAAATGCATCATCAACGTGGAATGTGATCAATCAAGCCCTCAAAAAACAAAAGAGTAAATCAAAGTGTCATATTACCAAAGATAATAATACAATGGTTGATTCAAAAGAAATAGCAAATTGCTTCAATGCTTACTTTGTTGGGGTTGGCCCCAATCAGGCCAATACAATAGCTTCAAACGGAGTCGACTTCTCACAATTTCTTCAAACTCCCTGCAACAAGTCATTATTTCTCAAACCAACATACTTGATTGAAATCTTGAATATTGCACGTTCTCTTAAAATAAGCTATGCTAACGGTCATGATGGGATAAGCACATATCTTTTGAAACAAGTTATAGGAAATATAATAACCCCACTAGTGCATATTTTTAATCTCTCTCTGACGACAGGTACATTTCCAGAAGCATTTAAGATTGCTAAGGTTGTTCCGATATACAAAAAGGATGACTCTTCCCAAGTCTCAAACTATCGCCCTGTTTCTATTCTCTCGAGTTTGTCCAAAGTATTGGAAAGACTTATATACAATAGGCTATATTGTTTTCTAACAGAAAATGACTTACTGAATCAGGATCAATATGGTTTCAGGAAATACCACTCAACCGATTTAGCCCTTGCACAATTATATGATAAGGTTTCGAATGCTTTGGCGTCTCGAAAGCATGTTATTGGTGTATTCATGGACTTAAGCAAAGCATTTGACACTCTTGATCACAAGGTACTATCAAGCAAACTTCATTATTACGGAGTAAGAGGAGTTGCTCTTGACTGGTTTAATGATTATTTGTCAGGTAGAAAGCAATATGTAAGCTACGAATCTGTAGATTCATCATTATTGCCTATGAAATGTGGTGTCCCACAAGGATCGATACTCGGTCCTTTATTGTTTCTACTGTATGTTAATGATATCTCGAACTCAACTACATCATTACAATATATTATATTTGCTGATGATACTAATGTGTTTTGCTCCAATTCCGATTTTCGATCACTTCAGAGAATTCTGAACACCGAGCTACCTAAGCTGTCTTTGTGGTTTAGGAGCAACAAATTGTCTCTGAATCTGAAAAAAACTAATTATATTCATTTTCAAAGCAGGAAAAATGCAACTGATAAACCTATACCTGAAATAGTCTTGGATGGTGAATATTTGGAGAAAAAACAAAATACTAAATTTCTTGGAACTATCATCAATGAAAATCTGAAATGGAGTGATCATGTACATTACGTTTCAAAGAGAGTGTCACGCACTGTTGGTTTACTGTATAAGTTAAAACATTATGTGCCTTTGAATATTCTATATATGCTATACAATTCCTTGATTCTTCCTTACATGTCTTATTGCAATATACTGTGGGCAGACTCAAAAGTATATACTGATAAAATGCTACTTCTACAAAAGAAAGCGATTCGTGTGTGTACCAATGCTGGATATCGCGATCACACTGATCCCCTATTCGCGAGGTTAAAAACTCTGAAAGTAACTGATATTAACTTTTTACAAAAAGCACTGTTCATGTTCCGTCTACATAATGATTCCCTACCTTCCCACTTCCCACCAATGTTTTGTTTGAATAGAAATATTCATACATACCCAACCAGACAATCAAATAAATACCATTTATGTAATCCTAAAACAACAATGGCTATGAAATCTATAAGACATTCTGGTCCGGATATTTGGAACTCACTGTCCGTTGACATCCGTAACTTGAAGTCAGTATATACTTTCAAGAAAAGTGTGAAATCAATTTTATTGAGCAAATATTGACAAATCTCTTAAATTAACACATGATATCATATATGTTTGTCGGCATTTCCTTGATATAGCAGGAAAATCCCCCTCCCATGCACCCTCTATCCCATTTTTTTTTTTTGGTTGCAAGTCACTGTTTATTTTTTGTTATTTTCCCCCAATTATGTTCTGTAATTTACTTTACTTTACAATCGTTATGATTTTAAATGTTTCTGGGCTGCAAGCGTATCAAGCTGTCACGCTTAGGCTGTAGCCCTTCTGTATCATCACCTCTTCGAGCGTATGTATCTATGATTTACTGAATGTGGAAATGTAATTTAACTTATGTTTTATACTCATGTAAAGACATTGTCACATTATTGTTATAACCTATGATGATTCAGTAACCAATAAATATTTCAACTATTTCAACTATTTCAACTAAGTATTATATGTACACCTCTTCCACATAACGTGCAAACTCCGCCGACCAAAAAAGCAGCTTAGACATGTGTACAGGATAATGGACGACGCGGCGCCGTTTCTGAGGCGCCAACTTGTGGGTGAGTGCAGAGCGTACTGAGAGAGAATAGTTGTGACACGCGAGTGGTATGCTTACGCGACTGGGGTCATAGATTAAACAAAATTAATCATGGAGCTCCAAATATTTCCATCCAAGGAGGGAACTGTTTGGACCTCAATGAAATTACTGACCAATCAGGAGCAACTTCGGCTGTACAGTTGCAATTATCTCTTATTCAACTAGCTACATGGATGTGCGGAAATTTGCAATGACAGCGGCGCGCGGCGGCACCAATACCGTCGGTTGGTGAGTTACGTCTATACGATGCGCCATTTGACGTTGCCGTAATACTACCTATAAATGGGCGAGTGTACGCGTGCTCTGAAAAATAATTCGAAGCATGTGGTTGACTTTGTGGTAGGCCCATATATAATCCTGTTACAACATTTGAAATTTATTGTTCTTTTTCCTATTCCTTCTTCTTCTTTTCTTCTTTTTCCCTCTCGATTTGGGGGTCTTTTTCTCTCTTTCTCACTCTTATACTTTTCTGTTTTCTTCTCCTTTTTCTTCTTCTTTCCTGTCACCTGTAAAGTTAGCATGTAGGATAGGGCAACTAAACCAGACACGTGTTGCTTTCCATTGAATCAATGCATGATTTAGATAGGTAACTCCAGTACTCCAAACTTATGCTGTCTCTCTGTGCAACCATAAATTTCAGAAAGACACCAACAAATGGGAAAAGCCCTGTCCATACCAGCAGGAAAGACGCCAATGTGTCTATATGAGTCACGTAGCTCCAAACTTCATTCCAGAACTCACTTTGACCTTGAACTTTGCATTTGATGAGGACATGACGGAAATTTTTCCAAAGAGACTCCAGGTTGAGTCCTCCGATAGCATATATTGGCACAACAAAAAACATAATGTTTTGGATCCAAAGCATTACTATCAAATAACTGTCTCTTGAGGTCACCATGGATGATTTACAGTATGAAAAAATGCCGCAGCAAAGGGAATGGAAGGTTACAGTTAGCAAGGTGAAGGCCATCAACCATCCTGTAAAATATCGAAAAACGTTGAACACCGAATAGATGCGATCGATCAATCTTCGGGCGCCTTCCCGGGTGCCTTCGCAGTCTGTTTGTCCAGCCAGTTTTCTGATTGTGTCTAGTGCGTTGTTTAGTTGGCAATTCAGGTAGACGCGCTGGACGTACACCACATACCAGAAGCAACCATAGTAGATATACAAGACTGATTTGATGACGAGAGTCGCCATTTGCCAGTTGCTTTCACAACCAATGAAGAACACCGAGAATCCTAAAACTATCTGTAGGATTGCGTTCAAAAGAGGAATCAAGAAGAACATCAGGATCTCAATGGCCAGTGAACAACGTGATTTTAAGTAGCATTTCCCAGAAGTATTGTAAAACGCTTGAACCAGTGTCACGCGTCTCACGCATGTGTCCATATCATAGGGCATGGCATGGAAATCAGGATTACCCCTCCAACAGCAGAGTTTCAAACGGATGAAGGTGTAGATGATGATTGAGAACGTTTGGAAGTTGAGACAAAGGAATGATGCCGTGTCCAAGAGATATTTATTCTCAAGCTTTGTGTACATTAAGAAAAAGATTATGTCGACGACGAAGAATGCAACCAAAGCCAGTAATATGATGATGCATACAACCTGGTATGCAGAATTCCATTTATCGCATCTCTGGTGATCTGTGAATACACAAACATAATATCAAGATTATAATTCTCTCAAGTTATGATTGAAGATTAATCACTTATTTATCTTTGACGGATCAATGTCAACACTAGAGTATTTTAATGTCGTAATAGTCCAGTGCAGCATTTTATCTTTTAACGTGAAGGAAATAAAACTTCCATTGCTTGGGTTATGACAGGGTTTAAGTTTCTATGGACATGGCATACCTTAGATGGAAGAACTTAATTTAGGAACTTTAAATTGATCTTGATCTAAGGAGACACGAACGTACGAATCTTAGAATTTCAATTTAGTAGATTAGCGTTTATCCACTTCTATGAACTTTCTCAGGCCGAGCCACTCGAGTACACAAGCTTTCATTCATCATGTGGAGTTTCTGAAGCCCATTGATTGATTCTTGGTAGACTTATGGCTACACCTACCTGTTGCATATCTTCACTCCAGCGGTCTCGAGGCAATTATGACAGTAAGATATTGGGTTGAGAGAGTCGATAGGAGAGGATGAACGGTTGTCTACTAAATTTAAATTCTAAGTGGATACATTTTTAAACGGAAGTTTTCTGTCTTTCTTTTTAAAACTTCTTACTGTCATATGCCTCGAGATCACTGGAGTGAAGATATACAAAAGGGTGCAGCCGTAATCCTACAGTGAAGAATCATTCAATGCGCTTCAGAAACTCCACATGATGGATGAAAGATTGTGCACTCAATATTGAGTTTGACAGAAGCTCATTGAGCCTGTTTGCAGAGGATTTCATCGAATTGACCTTAATATTTTCCAAAATATATACAATTTTCTGACTAACCTTCCTGATGTTGACCATGAGTTTCTCTCCGTTGTTCGGCACCTGTCGTTTTTGGTCCCTTGGTCTCGGTAGGACTCCAGACCCCTGCCTTTGAAAGATAATCTCGACCATTATCTGTACTGTTCACAGGATCACGAGAACAACCACACGAAAACCAGAAACCAGCGATCTGCATCGACTTGGCAATTAGAAAGGGCACCTTGACTTCTCTAACTTGCCCATGAAGCAATGGAGTCCTCTCCTGGGCATTACTCTCTCCCGACGTCGATGTATTAACGCTTGGGCTTCGATCTGCAATCCGTTTGGATTGACTGAGTGAGAAGGGTTGCATTTCCATATCGAGTCCACAGTATTATTGAGCAATGGTTTGAAATCCCTTTGCAAAACTTGATTTGATTTGTCGCTCCGAAAACCTGATACTAGTGATTGCCAATTTGCTTTTTCGTTTTCTATGCCAGCGAGATTCTGTAATAAGCATGGCTCTCTCTCTCTCTAAAAGTAAGAGCGGGCACTTGCATAAAAAAATGGTTAACTGATATCTTTTTCGTGCTCACAGTATGGACAATATCCAGTCTCGATTTGTTTCAACTGAAAGTATCTAGTTCAACAAGTATCAAAGTATCATAGTTCATGAGTATGATAGTTGTAGTCTCTCTCGAAGTCGTCTCAGCGGATAAAAATTCACAGTTCGTAGGAAGAAAAAATTGCCCGCCAACCGACGTATACATATGACCGAGTTCAAACTTCTGCATTGATATAGTACACGAGGTTCGAGCGAGAATACCGACACAGCAACATATCTATGCATATCTTTCTTGCTTCCTCGACGAGACTACTCAACCCAACAACCCCCTCTCTCTCTTACTCCCACCCCTCCTCTCTCTCTCTCTCTCTCTCTCTCTCTCCTCTCTTTCATCCCCCCATTTTTATTTTCCTTTTCTCTTCTTTTTCCCCCTTTTTTTCCTTTTCTCCTTTTCTCCTTTTTTCTTTCTTTTCTTTCTTTTTCCTTTCTTTTTTTTTCTTTTCCTTTTTTCCCCTCTTCATTCTCTTTTTCTTTTTTCTCTTTCATTCTTCTCTGCTCTTTCCTTTTTGTTTTTTTCTTTCTTTTTCTTTCCCTCTCAAATGCAGCACTAGGATGGCTGGTCTAGATTTTCTTTCCCTGATTGCCATAGCTTTCATAGGACTAAACTAAACAGACGAAAAGCACACAATGAAGTGATAACTGATGACGGTTCATATAATAATAACGTTTTATTTACCCAGGGTAGCCACTTCAGTTATGAAACTGCTCTTCCAGCGGGCCCCCCAATAAACAAAATCACGTGAAAATCACGTCAATATCAAGGTATCGACTTGAGGAGAGTTACGTTCTTCAAACACCGGACATTTACGTAAATGTGTTAATACGTTTATTGCATTAGGTAACTTAAAAGACACGTACACTAAATCACGCAATTGTCACTGCAATATCACCATTATAATAACGTGATTATCCCTACCTTAGAGACCATGGTTTGTAAACCTAATGCTCTCGTGTTTGTTTGGTTATGAAATTACATCTTCATACACGAAATTATCGCGTCACAGAAACACGTTAGTGATAGTTTTAGTCAAAATATCTGCGTGAAATTCACGTGAATATTACGAGGCTGACTTGAGATGAATCATGTTCTTCATTCACGTGAAATTTACGTCGGAGAGGAAGTATGTTACTGTAACCCGCGTTCAACCCAATAATTACGCAAATGTTACACAATAAATGAACCAAAATAATGACGTTCTCATCCCGTTTCTGAACATCGTGTCTTGGATCTTCCATAATTACGTCCAGGCGCGCCGGAAGCAGTTTGGGATTAGAGGGGGTGGGGGTGGTGGGTGCAAACATCCCAGAAGAGAAAGCTAGTTGCAACTGGTCCAGTTGATTAATGCCAACTGGTAACCCTGGAAATTGAAATGGGCTAAATGATCCAGTTGATCCAGACCAGTTATAATTCAACTGGTCTAGCTGAGCCATTAGAACCATTTGGTAAAACTTCCAACCAGTTGAACAGCAACAATAGTTCAATACTAGTACGTCTGTATTTCCAATGTAAAGGCATTGGTAATAAGTAGACTTACATAATTGAATTAATCGAAAAAATTTCGTATACTTGTACTTTATTGAAATTATTTTAGTTCACAGTTAATGTTTCCCTTATTCATGTTTAACTAAATGTAATTTATACGAAGTAGCGAAATGTCCTAATAACTGGTAATTTATATTTGTAGTATTTTCGAAATGAATTGCATATAACTAAATCATCAGTAATTAAGAAATATGCTGTAAATTCAGATAAATTGTTTAAAAAACATAGATCTGCACGCACCCCATATTCAATATGCAAATGAATTGGTGTCAGCTGGGCCAATTCGAAATATGCCAACGCTCAGTCATCAACTGGTGCAACTGGAAATATGCACACTCAAGTTATTAACTGGTGCAATGAAAATATGCCAACAGTCAGTTATCAACTGGTGAACATAGAAATATGCCAACAGTCACGGGATTATCACCACGGAACTTAAATGCTAACTGTGAAACCATCAAGACACCCAAGAATAACTAATTTTCACACATGGAAAACACGGAATACCCAGCTTATATTAATAATCCGTTTGAGTCACGCGATCATCACCGCGGAACTGCTGGCAACTTTGACTACGATTTAAATAGGTGTTTTAAGACACCTAATCATGACTAATTTTTCACACCTAAAAGTCACGTATGCCCAGCTTAGATTAATAATCCGTTTGAGTCACGAGATCATCACCGCGGAACTTATGGCAACTTTGACTTCCATTTAAATAGGTGTTTTAAGACACCTAATAATGACTAATTTTTCACACCTAAAAGTCACGTATGCCCTGCTTAGATTAATATTCCGTTTGAGTCACGAGATCATCACCGCGGAACTGCAGGCAACTTTGACTACCATTTAAATAGGTGTTTTAAGACACCTAATAATAACTAATTTTTCACACCTAAATATCACGGATTCACAGCTTAGATTAGTAATCAGTTTTAACTACGTGATCATCACCAAGAAAGTTATGGTAACTTTGAAACCATTTAAATAGGTGTTTTAAGACACCTAATAATGACTAATTTTTCACACCTAAAAGTCACGTATGACCAGCTTAGATCAATAATCCGTTTGAGTCACGAGATCATCACCGCGGAACTTATGGCAACTTTGACTACCATTTAAAAAGGTGTTTTAAAACAGTTAATAATTACTCATTTTCAACCCTACATATCACGTTTTCACAGCTTAGATTAGTAATCAGCTTGAGCCACGTGATCATAACCAAGAAATTTATGGTAACTTTGAAACCTTTTAAAAAGGTGTGTAAGACACCTCAGAATTACTAGTTGAATATAACCAGAGATTCACGGACAGAACAATAAGACGATTAGCCGGTGTAAGTAACGTGATTATTACATTCAACCTGGGATAACCTGTGAAACCAATCAATGAAGGTGCTTACAAGACCAAATAATTACGTATTTATCGCCACCATCGATTATCTGACAAAAAACTCGTTGCTTGGTCAAGTGGTTATTTGGTCATAAACACTTGATTTACAGAGGTAAGTGGAATCACGTTACTCCAGTCGCGTGATAAAGTGGTGGTTTTTAGGTTAGATGAAAACGTGAACAGGAGTACCTTTTTTGTTTAAATGAAGGCACGTGTCGATAACGTTTAAATCTAGTTCAAACGGCACTATACTTTAAAATCACTTAAAATACACTCCCAAAAGAGGTTACTTTTTAGTGTTCTGTTTATTGGGCCTGCATAACATAATATGTTATTACTACCCTTCTCTATTCTAATATGCTGACCGCCTAGCTAGAAGGCAGAAGGTCCCATTGTTATAAGTCTTTGGTATGACTCGGCCGGGGTTTGAACCCACGACCTCCTGTTCATGAGGCGGGCGCTCTAACGACTGAGCCACCATGCCCGGTTCCATAAGTATTTTTCAGTTTTGTGCTCCGCCCTCGCAAACATTTAACACATACTGGAATTTTTGAAACAGGAAGATATATCGATCAACGCTATAGCTCGGAAGTTAGCTACTGCAATATCAATTATCAAAATAGTAAGTGACAGGAGTGGCTCTAGAAGATATGTTTTTCTTGGGAAGGGGTGCTTTTTTTTTTTGGGGGGGGGGTGGTTGGGGCATTGGGGTTATTGCATTCATTTTCTATATG